AGGAAAACTTCTCAAATATAGGAAAAGGAAATGATATTCTGATATATGAGGCACACAGAACTCCAGCCACCTACAACCAAAACAGAGCTACACCCAGGCATATAATAACCAAGATCCCAGAAATTCAATATAAGAACAAAATATTAAAAGCTGTTAGAGACAAGAAACAGATAACTACAGAGGAATGCCCATCAAAATAAGCAGACTTCTCGACACAAACCATCAAGTCAAGAAGAGCGTGGAGCGAAATAGTCCAAGCCCTGAAAGAAAATAACCTTCATCACAGATTGATATACTCTGATAAACTGTCTCTAGAAATTAATGGAGAAACAAGATGCTTCCAAGACAAAGAGGAACTTGGGAAATTTGCAACCACCAATCCAAGTCTACAGAGAATACTTCAGGGCATTCTAGAGAGAGAGAAAAGTACTAGGATTCCAGGAACAGTGGCAGAGAGGCCTTAATGAATGGAGCAGGAAACAGAAAGAAGAAGATAAGCAAACAATTGATGGCAAACAAGAGCATAACAGAAATGAGGCAGAGAAGATTTTATTCAAAACTGATATGATTGATAGTATCAAGTCTGAGAGTATAGGCAACTACACTGAAGATGACAAGACTCTATGATACACATTCTCACTTGATACCTGCCTGTTTTTGAAGTTCTCTACTATATACAAAGTTATGTTTTTATTAATACTGTTATGTACTGATATATTCAATTATACTATATCTGATGATATAGCCAATTCTATTGAAGATAACAAGAGACAACACAGGTAGAGCTCTTTGTGCAACAGTCTTATATGTTTATTTCATTTCATGTGTTTATAGGAATATGTTTTGTTTTTCCTTGCTTTGTTTTATTTCTACCCCTAACATAGAAAGGATAGAAATACATGGTAAGACTCATGCATGTGTAGAATCTGTAAACAGTTTATGAGAACAGATCTTATGACACATGATGAAATGAACAGATACTTTGAAGAAAAAGAGACACTAAAATACCCAGTGCTGATCCTGGAGTGTCATAATGTGAAACCCAGCAATAGTATTATTCTTTGTTCAAAGTGATATTAGCCTGCTTAGGTTTATTCAATGTCAACATAATTGCAGATGTGGATAACTGCATGTATGTTTAAGTGTATAGGATTGATAACCATATTTCTAAGTTTTTGTTGGATAGTTGAACAGAACTGGTTACAATCTCACTGTTTGCATCCCACTTCATAAGCTCCACTTTAGTATCTTGAATAACTATTTGAAGAAGACAATCTGTAATCATCAACTATTGACTTTTTACTGTTTATTTTTTCTTTGAAATTATGTATTATTTCTACCCTTTTTCTGTTTTGTTTAGTCTTTCTTTAAATTAAAAAAGGCACTACTGTACCCAGTGCTGATCACAGAGTGTCATGCTGTGAAATCCAGCAATACTACTATTCTTTGTTCAGAATTATTTTAACCTGCTTTAGTTTGTTTAATCTAAACATAAATGAAGATATGGATAACTGCATGTATGTTTAAGTGTATAGGATTGACAACCATGTTACTAAGTTTCTGTTGGACAGTTAAACAGAACTGTTTGCAGTCTCGCTGTTTGAATTCCCACTTTACATATTCCACTCTTGTACCTTGAACAACTATTTGTAAAATGACAATATGTAAACATCAACTTGTGATTTCTTACTATTTATTTTTTTCTCTGAACGTATGTATTATTTCTGCCTATTTTCTGTTTTGCTTAGTCTTTGTTTAAATAAAATTAAAAAAGAAAATGCTTAATAACAATTTCAAATACTGATTTAATAATAAAATATTAACTTTTACTTCCTACAAATTCTACATGTTTTTAATCACATATGTTTAGTTGCAACTGATGCTATGGTACTATGATAGTTTGAACATAATTTTATTATTTCATTATGCTTTCTAAGGATGAGAATTGCATATACAAATATTATATGAGTGCCATTTTTTATTTCACAGAGAGGGAGATATCATATAGAATGACTATGTAGGTTGTGTAATGAAAGTGATCTGTTTATTTATGTATTTTTGTTAGTACATGTCTTAGTTACTTTTTACTCGTCGCTGAGACAAAATACCTGAAGCCCAAGTTGGAAAAGGAAAGGTTTATTTCTTACAGTTTTTGGAGGTTTCAGTCCACACTCAGTTGGCTCCAAGACAGGCAGGCATGGCTGGACCGCAGTTCATGGCAGCCACCGACAGCAAGCTCGAACCAGCAAAGAGAGAGACACACCTTCTTCCTGCAATTACATCACATCCTGGCTCCACCCCTAGCGGGTGGAGCCCTGACACCATCAATCCAAGCACTATACAATGAACCATCACAAATGAACAATGCAAAATCATGAGGCCTGGGGGACACAAACATAAACCATGACAGTACATAGGTGCAGTATATACTATTTTTATTCCGTGTGAGGAGTTGGTACATGTACAAGACACATCTTAGTTCTTTTTTTAATTCTTTCTTTTTATTTCCCTCATCACTTCATCCTCTTCCCATTGGAAAAGATCTATCTTCCTACTTCTTATTAGCTATATTTTATTTTGAAATTCATTGATAATTTCAATGTCCCATATAAAAGAAACCTTGTGATATTTAACCTTTTTGTCTGATCTGTTTCTCTTAACTTTATGGTATGAAGGTTCATCAATTATTTTACAAGTGACTGGAATTTATTTTTGTCTATGGAAGAGTAGTGTTCCACTGCATGTATATTCCACATTTTATTCATCCTTTCATCTATTGATGACATATAAGTCACTAGCAAGATGCAAATATTATGAATTATGCTCTATAATCATACATATACATGCATCACTGTAATATGGTATTCTAAACTGTTTCAGGAAGATAAGTAGAGGGGAATAATAGAGTCAATGGAATTCTTTCTTTTTTTTTTTTTGAGTCAATGGAATTCTTAAAACCTGAGGCCTAGGTGTATAACTGATAGGTCCAATATATATCTACATGCAAAGCCTATGGTTCACTCTCAATAACTGAGAAAACAGAACAGAACAAAACAAAATAAAATAAAAACATTGACAAGTTAACAAAAAATATATAATGTTATCAACCCACTTCCAAAGTCCTCTTTCTGTCCCTCTTTGATAGAAGCTTTCCTTCTCTCAATAAATTCTTTCTATTCTTAACCTCTGTTGTTCCTAGAATTCACTTCTTGATTTTAGAGAACAGGAAAACAGTGTTTTGGACATTTAGCAGCTTGAGAATTTCATTCCCCTATACAATTTGGAGGTCTTCTACTGAGATAATTGGAGGGAAAGAAACAGATAACATACTGAAGGATATCACATCAGTGAGTAAATTCCAATAGACTCTTCAACTCCTAATGGAAGTTCAGCCTAAAGAAAAGAGAAAATCCATGTTCCACCCTGGAGCCTTAACACTTTCTTTCCTTACCCTCTGCTTCACTAGGGCCAACTCAGGAAGGACCATACATGTTGATCCTGTCAACTCTATCAGCTGCCAAGGTTGCAGGCCTGGGCTCCTCTATATATCATAATTGACTCAAATCCTGGGAACCATAGCCTGTCACTGAATGTGAGCAACCATCATCAGCATATTCCAGTAAGCCCATAGAAGACTTAAAATTCTTGTTCAAGAAAAATCAGTGTTTTCAGATAAGGAATCTAAGATGCTATTCTTAGCCCTTTTACTAATTACTTAATCACTTAAAGGAAAATGAAATTCCTTTATAAAGTGGCCACAAGAATATTCAGAGTTCTTACAGCAAACATCTTGATTGGATATGTGACCTGCTTTCTTGTCAAGTACATCTGGATTTCCTTGGCAGTACATCTGGATTTCCTTCCCAAATCTAAGGAGATGATTGGCATAAATCACAGGAACATATTGATGATTTACGAAAGAATTCAATGGTTCATTGTTTAATCCACCATTCCAAGGCAGCTGAGTGTTCTATAAATTACACTCTTAATGGTTCTGGACATAATAAATTTTTTTCTAACAACACCGCTGAAACCTCTTTAAAGATTCTAGTAGGACCTCTCTTAAATAAAAGTAAGAGTCCTATCCTGAGGACCAACAGTTGTAGAAATCAAGGTGGCTATTAACAGATAGGGGATGATTATCTATGGTTAACCCCTCCTACTAAGATGTCTAACTAATATAGGGCATCTTAGTAGAAAGGACCCCTTATGTTGGGATTATAAAAATCACTCCTATTCTCATTGGCCTAATTGTACTAAATACTTAGGCTGAACACCCCTGAACAATGTATATACACATTAACTTTACTGGCTAAAGAGTGATTTTGCAATAAACTTGTTTAATTGACCCAGAATTAGATGGGAAACCCCTAATAGCACTCACTGCTCTTGTGGAACCCAATATGTGGCCCTGTATACTCACTGGATGGATAAAAGATGTATGCTGAGATTTTCATGGTTCAAGGCAGAAATGTCAAAAGTATTGACAAACCTGCAAACCTGCCCTGCCTACATCATCTGTGGTCTAGAAGTGTGTTTCAGTGCTATAACTCATCTGGCTTCTATCCTTATCCCTTCCCTAAGGTAGAGGGTGTCATGCAACACATTGAGGTCATAACTATATTCAGCAGGCCTTAAACAACATGGTGGTTGGCCTCTCTCCTAAATGAAGAAATAAAATTAATGAAGCAAGTGATCCTAGAAAATCAGATGGCATTAGAAATTCTAACAGCAGCACAAAGGGGCACTTGTGCAACTATAAAAGCTGAATGTTGTGTGTACATTCCTGATTCTTCTGCAGTTCAAGGTATTAAGCAACAGATTAATGACATGTCAGATTCTAAAATTCCCTATATCTTCTCCTTCTTCTTTTTAAGGGAAGTTATTACTGGCTCCTCTTGGTGGAAGATTTTGTTGGCTATATTAATAATTAACCTGTTATTTTATCATTTTTCCGATGCATACTTATTTCTGTGGCCTTGTTTTCTCTTGACTTAAAGCTGTACATCTACCCAGGACAAGAATGTGTGGTGCCTGTTGAAGACCCTTAATATAGACCCTCGTGAGTATCTCTGATGCCAATCACAACTACAACTCTCTTCAGCTAGTAGTAGCCAAATCAGAGTTTGACCCTTGCAACCTCATGGAAGTGAGGGGTACGTCTTTAGAGGGAGTATTATTATAGATAGCTGTTAGGTAGAAATGTTGTAGGCAGCCAAACAGGGCTGAGCCTTTGAGAGGTCAATGCAGTAGACATCCATGGTTGGAGGTGTATTCAATGAAGATAAGGCTTCAAGAAAAAGAACTGCTCACCCACATACTTCACCAACGGATGATCAAAAGTGACTGTTATTCTAAGTAGGTATCAGTCGCCTCCATATGAAAGACAGAATCACCTTAACCTACCCGTTCCAAGAAAGCCCTTGTCTGCCTATGTGCACTTGCTACTTACCTTGTTTCCCCACTTGTCCCTATTTAATCAATATTATCTTAGCAACTATACTTGTATATTTATTAGTTGAAAATAATTTTATCCCACCTCACAACTATCCTATGACTTGCCATTGGATAAAAATTATGTATGAGACCATGTTTGTAATCTTATTGATTGATTATAGTTCTGTCCTACTTAAGCCCACCTCACCTCAAGGCTTTGCTCAATTAAATATCCTTGAAAAACAGGTTGGTGGACAACCAAATTTTTGGGTACTTGTACCTCTCAGACAGATGCTATCTTTCTCCTGATGGATTCCTTCTAGTCTTAAAAAAAGAGTAATGATTTGGAAACATGATTATTTAAAAGAGTATTTATTGAAATGTTTATATGCAATAAACTATTCATATGGTTCTCCACATACCCTACAGTATTTATTGTACGGTTTAGTGAAGAAAATATAAAAATTCAGGAAAATGAAAACATACTTTAGAAGTCATTAGATGGAATCTTTGAAGGAAATATAGATAGTTCACTAATGTCTATATGCAAACATTACTACTTGATTAAATATCAAAAATGTATATAATGTATACATATGCAATCACTTCTGTGTAAATACATACATCACAGATGATATCGTGGCACATGAAATTTTATATTTGTTGGAAGTTAAAACTAATTATAAATGCTATCATAATGTTTATTATTATCAATAGATAGTTGATTTATGTCATTGTGAGAAAACTTCAGAAAACCTACATAAGAATTGCAGAGATATTTAAATTTGTAAAACAATAAAGTCATATTCAAGTGAAATCATTTATTTGGTAAGTAGATAGACTATCCAAAGAAAAAAATTAAAAGCAAGAATTCTAAGATCACATTGGAAGACAATAGCACTTCTAAACCTAATTGAACAATATTATATGGGCAAAAGGACAAATCAGTGACATTTTAAAAGTCAATGCATAAATCAAACCATTTGGATGTAAATGAAAAAGTAATTTAGTGCAAATAGGACAGACTTTTGAATTCATGGTGCTTGAAAGACTATATTTACACATGTAAACCAAAAACTGTCTACCCATTTGTCACAACAAACTAAAAATTAACACAACTGCATCATGAATTTAAATCTAAGAGGTTCATATTTAGATGAAAACATGAAAAATCAATGAAGCCTTCAGCTAGGTTAGTAAATGCAATTTAAAAAAAAATTCTCGGTAAGGTATCACCAAAATTAAGTCTGACAATTCAAAAGACACTCAAAGATTGAGGATGTAGTGTAATGTAGAGCACATACCTAGCACATGTAAGGCCCTGGATTCCATCCCTAGCAACACACACACACACACACACACACACACACACACTCTCACATACAACCACTTACAAAAACTAAAAATAGGAGAAAAGATTAGAGAAATATATACCTAATAAAACACTAAGATCCAATTTATATGGATTCTATTTATAAAATGTAAGCATACCACCTAAGACTGTGCCATAAGTTTGGATAGCCACTTCAAGTCGAAAGTAGTATGTAATAAATGAATAAATGAAAGTAAAATCAATTTTTCATTCAAATGATATAAACTAACACTTAATTTAGGCTAAAAGTTGACTAAAGAAGTGAAAAATAAATACTAATACAGGAATACTAATAAATTTTCTAATTCTTAAATTTGAGGCTTTAAAAAATAAAATGTGCTTAAATGTATTTTTTGTATCCTAACTTAGGGACATGTCAAAAGTGAAAGAAGAAGAAACTGCCAATCCATCCCCATAACAAAAAGAAATGAAAAAGAAAAGGAAGAACCCAGCAAGTAATGCAACTTTCATATATTAATTTAAGAAAAATTACACAGATAATTGTATTAACTAGTTTTTTCCAGGTAAATATTAAAATATAGTTGATTCAAATTATGACCAAGGATTAAATTTATAAAGTCACCACAAATTCTGAATTAGTTGATAATGAACTTGTGTTTCTAAGAGAAATATAAAATTCAAATTTTAGGAATCCCTATACTTGACATTTTTGTGAACTGATTAGCACACAAACTTGTTTTATGAATATTACTTTTTCAAGATACTTGATGTATATCTTTGATGTGTAAATACTGATGTCATACCTAAGTGCACTATGATTCATTGTTGAATATACCTAACTCAACAAAATAATTTGTTATACAACATATCAAGACATTCTCATATTTTAGTAACACTAGACAAGAGTATAACTCAGTAATTTTTAGTATTATAATCACTAGCAAAAAATGCACCATTATATACATCATGCCACTGGATGGAGAAGACAAAGGCACTTGTTTACAGTGTAAATGTTTGAAAGATGGTAGAACATTATCTTTGTCTTTGCTAGGCATGTGTACCTCTAGTGACTGAAATTTTGATTTCAAGCTTACAAAAATATTATCTATTATGTCCACCCTTTTGACTTGACCGATTCTGTTCTGTTATGTCACATTTGGTTTTACTCTCTTCCAAAAAAGCAATAAGAACCGTGGGAGCAATGAAACCCAAAATGTGCAAGAGTCACTGTACAAAAGAGAGGAAAAGAAAGTGCTCTAAACTATATAACTGCATGTATATTTAAATGTATAAGATAGAAAATGATATCACAGAGTTTTATTGGATCATTGAACAGAACTGTTTGCAGTATCATTGTTGGAATGTCCACTCTACAAGCTTTAATTTTGTGACTTGAACAATTATGTCTAAGATGGCAATATGTAATCCATTCACTAGTGATTTCCTACTGCGCATTTTTTTCTTCTGTAAATCTGTATAACTTGTACCCCTTCACTGTTTTTTTTTCTTTCTTTTCTTTTCTCCTTAAATAAAAATAAAAAAAAAATTTTAGTGATTGTGCACACATTTAAAGGAAAACATTTGTTTTTTCAAGTAAGCTACAAATGTGCTTTAAGAGATTTCTAATAAATAGGTCAACAATGATTACTGCACCCAGAAAAGTGATACATAAAATGATCAATTGCTACTGAAGTGCTATGGGTTTGAATGTCCCTCCTTTAAAATTCCAGCATTGTTATTATGATAGTATTAAGAGGTAGATCCTTTAGAGAGTGAGAGCTTTCACCTCATGAAGTTTTTACAATCTTACAAAAGAGGCTTCCTTTAGCTTTTAGTTTGCTTGCATTTCTGTTTTCTTTTTGTGAGATAAATATTTCGTCTAAATATGAATTGTCAATACTTTTGACATTTCTGCCTTGATTTTAGTGAGATGCATGAAGGAAGGCCTCACCCATCCAGTGTGTGCTTTTGGATACTAGCCTTCTCAATATTCAGGACTGTGAGAAATAAAGTTCTGTTCTTACAAGTTATTCAGTCTCAGGGTTTTTTTGTTATAGCAGTACAAAAATCTATGATATGAAATTTATAAAGTGGATCAAGTATATCAAGTATACTTATAGTTATGGACTTTCCTATACTGGCAATAATAGAGGTGTATGGAACAATTAAAATAAGACTTTCATTTCTATTTTGTAATAATATGGCATGTTAAAATATGGTCATGCAGTATTAGTATACATATTCATAAAACTCATTTCTCTTAGCTTAATATCTAATATTTAGACTATTAAAATTTTATTTATTTTAAAAAAATTTTATTTAAAAGGAAAAAGAGAAAAACACAAAACAAAACAAAGCGGTGTAAGGGTACAAGTAATACAGAACTACAAAAAAAAAAAAAACAGTAAGAAATCACCAGTTAATAGATTACATATTATCATCTTAGAGATAGTTGCTCAAATCACAGTATCAAAGCATACAAAGTGGACATTCAAACAGTGAGACTGCAAACAGTTGTGTTCAGTGATCCAACCAAAAACATTAATATGGTCAGCTATTTAACACCCCTAAACACACTTGCTGTTGTATCCTTTAGAGCTGTTTTTTTTCCCTCTCTTTTTTACAACAAAATTTACACATTTTGGGTTTTATTACTCCTTAGTTCTTATTACTTTTTTGGGGGGGGAGAGAATAAAGTCAAATATGGCAAAACAAAGCTGTCAGTCAAAACCAAGGATAGACATAGCACATGATGTAAAACAGAGTACAAGATTATCAACAATGGTTATCAATGATGTCTCTTGTTTCCTTAAAAAGAATTATCTATCTCATTATATATTATAAAGTTGAACAAAACAGTAGAGAACAAGACCAATAAAACTTAAGCATTGTAAACATTACAGGACTTCCAAAGGAGACAATAGTCAAACCAGAATGGGCATCTTAGTGAGTCTTATTGCCTTCAAAGTAGTTGCCTATACCCTCAAACTTGATACTATCATACAGAACGGAACAGAGTCTAATCAGTCAAAACAAGATCGTGGGAGTATTACAGGACTTCAAAACAAGTTAATAGGAAATAAAAAAAAGGTACTATTATATATCCTGTTAATTTTTAAAATTTTTCCCCTTAATTAAAACAAACATAAGAAATAACTAAATAATTTTTTTAAAAATAAGGGAGAGATTGAGATAAAACAGGACATAACAATATAACAATACACAGGTCAAAGCATGACTGTTTCAGCAACCTAGTGCTTCACCACAAAATAACCCAACTTAATAGTAGTTACCATAGTGTCTTGAAATATTTGAATAAAACTTCACATACTATAGTTTCAAATATTTCCATATCAAGAAACCCAGAATAAAGCCTTTCCAATTAATAAGTGAAAACTTTATAAGGCTTCAAGGCCACATAATGGGGAATCATGATTACCACATATTTTTATATATTTGAATCATTACTTACATTAGGAAAACTATTCGGTATTCACACATGCGAGATTGGTTTATTTCACTTATGAGTATAGTCTCAAGCTGCGCCCATTTATTGATAAATATCTCAACGTGATTCTTCTTTATAGCTGAATAATACTCCATTGTATAGAAATACCACAACTTTTTTATCCATTCCTCAGTTGATGGACACTTGGGTTGTTTCCCAGATCTGGTGATTACAAATTGTGCTGCTATAAACATGGGTGCACATATTAACTGTGGTATGATGCTTTCAATTCTTCTGGGAATATGCCTAGAAGTGGAATAGCTGGAATAAATGGGACTTCCAATCCCAGCTTTTTGAGAAATCTCCAGACTGACCTCCACAAAGGCTGCACCAGTCTACATTCCCACCAACAGTGTAGAAGAGTTCCTTTTCCCCCACAGCCTCTCCAGCATTTGTTGTTGTTGGTTTTCTTGATCCTGGCCATTCTTTCAGGAGTGAGATGGTATCTCAGTGTGGTTTTAATTTGCATTTCTCTAATGACCAATGATGGTGAACATTTTTTCATGTATTTATTTGCCATTTGCATTTCTTCATCTGAGAAGTGTGTATTCATCTCAGATGCCCATTTTTGGATTGGATCTTTGAATTTTGGGGGTCTGAGTTTTTTTTAATTCTTTATATGTTTTAGACAAGAGTCCCTTGTCTGAGAGAGAGTTCACTAAAATATTTTTCCAGTTTGTGGGTTTTCTTTTCACTATGCTGGAGATTTCTTTTGACATGCAGAAACTTTTTAATAAGAAGTGGTCCCAGTTATTGATTCTGGGAAGAATTTCCCATGCGGTTTGAGTCCTGTTCATGAATTCTTTACCTACTCCTATGTCTCCAAGGTTTCTACCTAATTTGTCTTCCAATAGATTTAGTGTTTCTGTTTTAATATTCAGATCTTTGACCCATTTAGATTTTAATTCAGTACATGGTGATAGACATGGGTCTAGCTTTGGTTTTCGGCAAATGGAGAGCCAGTTTTTCCAGCACCATTTATTAAAGAGACTGTCGTTCTTCCAGTGAACCTGCTTGGCTTCTTTATCAAAGATAAGGTGGTTGAGTGTGTTTGTAGTTGTGGTTGTATCTTCTAATCTATTCCACTGATCTTCGGCTCTGTTTTGATTTCAATACCATGTTGATTTTACTACTGTTGCTTTGTAATATAACTTCAAGTCAGGGATTGTGATGCCTCCTGCTTTGTCTTTGCTGCTTAGAATTGCCTTTGCGATTCTAGGTCTCTTCTGGTTCCAGATGAAATTTAGGAGTGAATTCTCTAGATCTATAAGGTATGTTGATGGTATTTCTATTGGGATTGCATTGAATCTGTATAACAGTTTTGGGAGAATGGCCATTTTCACAATGTTTGTTCTTCCTATCCATGAGCAAGGGATGTCTTTCCATTTTCTGAGATCATCTTCAATTTCTTTTTTCAGTGTATTATAATTTTCACTGTATAAGTCTTTCACTTCTTTCATAAGAGTAATTCCTAAATATTTCATTTTTTTGCTTGCTAATGTGAAACGTGCAGTTTCTCTTATTTCCCTCTCTGTGATTTTGTTGTTCGTGTATAGGAATGCTATTGATTTCTGAGTATTGATTTTGTATCCAGCCACATTACTGAATTTATTTATTGTATCTAAGAGTCTTTCCATGGAGTTTAGGGGGTCTTCTATGTAGAGTATCATGTCATCTGCAAACAATGATAATTTAACTTCTTCTTTTCCTATCTTTACCCCTTTTATTTCTCTCTCTTGCCTAATTGCTCTGGCTAGTACTTCCAGTACTATATTAAATAGGAGTGGTGATAAAGGACATCCTTGTCTTGTGCCTGATTTTAAAGAAAAGGCTTTCAATTTTTGGTCATTTAGTATGATGCTGGCTGTTGGTTTGTCATAAATGGCCTTTATTATTTTGAGGTAAAGACCATCTATTCCAATTTTCTGTACTTATCAAAGGCTTTTTCTGCATCTATAGAAATGATCATGTGATTCCTATTTTTGGGTTTATTGATATGGTGGATTACATTTATTGATTTACGTATGTTGAACCATCCTTGTATTCCTGGGATGAATCCCACTTGGTCATGGTGTATAATCTTCTTGATGATTTGCTGGATCCTATTTGCCAATATTTTATTGAGGATTTTTGCATCTGTGTTCATTAGGGAGATCGGTCTATAGTTCTCTTTTTTAGTTGGGTCTTTCTCAGGCTTTGGTACTAGAGTAATATTTGCTTCCAGGAATGACTTAGGAAGGATTGCTTCCCTTTCAATTTCATTGAATAGTTTGAGGAGTGTCGGCATTAGGTCTTCTTTGTATTTCTTGTAGAATTCTGCAGTGAATCCATCTGGGCCTGGGCTCTTCTTGGTGGGTAAGGACTTAATTACATTTTCAATTTCATTAACAGAGATTGGGTTATTCAACAGTTTTATATCCTCTTGATCTAGCTTTGGTACTTCATATGTTTCTAAGAATCTGTCTATTTCTTCTGTGTTATCAAACTTTTGAGAGTAGAGGTTTTCGAAATAGGCGTTGATGATCTTCTGTATTTCTATTGGGTCTGTAGTGATTTCACCTTTTTGATTTCTTATTGCATGAATTTGAGCTTTTTCTTCCCTTTTTAAAATAAGTTTGGCTAAGGGCTTGTCGATTTTATTTATTCTTTCAAAGAACCAACTCTTTGATTCGTTGATTCTTTGGATTGTTTTCTTAGTCTCTATTGCATTGATTTCTGCTCTGATTTTTATAATTTCCTCTCTTCTTTTGGCTTTGGGCTTGACTTGCTCTTCTTTTTCTAGCTGTTTGAGGTGTAGCATCAAGTTATTTATTTGTATTTGTTCTGTTTTCCTGATGTGGGAACTCAGTGCAATAAATTTTCCTCTGAGGACGGCTTTCATTGCATCCCACAAATTCCAGTAAGCTGTATCTGCATTTTCATTTTCTTTTAGGTATTGTTTAATTTCTTCTGTGACCCACTGATTACTCAAGAGTGTGTTATTCAGTTTCCATGTGTTTGTGGGATTTTTGCAGTATCTTTTATCATTAATTTCTAATTTCAGAGCGCTATAATCTGATAATATGCAAGGGATGATTTCAACTCTTTTGCATTTGCTTAAATATGTTCTGTGAGCTAAGATATGGCCTATTTTAGAGAATGATGCATGTACTGCTGATGAGAATGTGTATTCTGATGTTGTTGGGTGGAACATTCTGTACATGTCTATCAAATCCATTTGTTCGCAGGTGTGATTCAGTTCTGTTATTTCTTTGCTCATTTTCTGTCTGGTTGATCTGTCCCTTGGTGTCAATGGCATATTAAGGTCTCTTGTTACAATTGTGTTACTGATAATTTGAGTTTTCATTTCTGTTAATAGTTGTTTTATATAATTGGGTGCTCTGGAGTTTGGTGCATATATATTTAAGATAGTTATCTCTTCCTCTTGGAGTTTTCCCCTTACAAGTATGTAGTGACCTTCTTTGTCCTTTATGGTCATTGTTGGTTTAAAGTTCACGTTGTCTGCAAACAAAATGGCTACTC